CATGCCTCTGTGCAGCTATGGAGCAAGAATAAGTAATTTTTCTACTTCTGGAAGTGTGTGTGGATTGCTAGCTGTCATCATGGTGGGCAGACAGGCCTGGCTCACAGATCATACTTCATTCTGTGACTTAGACAAGAGGAAAATGGCTAGAGGGCTTAGTTGCAACATGAAAAAGAGCCTGAATAAAATGTATTTATTTGGAGACTGGGTTTGGTCTTTTTGAAACAAATTGTTTAAAACATGGTAGAGCTCTGCCTATCATGACTGGTTAGTCTTATGGAGACCAAAGATGAGTTATGGTGGTCTGTTTCAGTCTGATGTAGGCACCTGATGGTAGGGGACAGTCTCTGAATGGTATGCAGAAATAGGTAAAGATGAAGCATGATGACAGTGGTGGCTTATGGTAACTTTCACATTTGTGAAAATTTAGCCTCTTGGGCAATTTCCAAGTCTTCGTGGAAGAAGTTCTAAGCCCAAGAAGGTAGACTCAGTAGGCCCTTGAGAACTGCTTGGACAAATGGCTATAGCCAGTTGGATTATAAAGGTCCGAAGCGAACTGAACGGGGTGGGGGTGACTCATTCTGCCATCTCATGAAGTCGTAAGGGGATTTCTGTATCCTGCATATTGATAGGGGGACAATAAAAGACCTGGTGGTAGAAACACACAGCCATTCCTAAATATATTCATTTTCTCCATGAGGAAGTGCTTTGCACAGTGGATTTTTACATAACAGGTTCTCTAAACACCAACAGAACTGAATCACATTTATCAAGTCTAACATAAATAATAGTTTTATTTCCCAAATTTTCAGCATCAGGTAAGTCTTCTCCACCCTAATGTGTTCATATATATTATATGATAAAAGCGTGTCCACTAAAATATATGTCGAGAAGGTGACTATTAAATTTTGAAGAAATGATAATTACAGCCGTAATTGCTAATCATTTATTAAGATCTGGTCACAAGCATTTGCTATAGGACTTGATTTTAGAAATAAAAATACTTTAGAAGGAAGTAAGATTTTAGTGAGCTCATTGTATTTTATCAGTCATCACGAGATTTATGTAAATGTAAATTTAAAGTAAACCTACATTTACCAGCACATAAGCTTTTAACTCTGATTTATTTACTCATAATCTAGAATGTGTTTGACAATTAGAAATTTTTGATTATAAATGAATAGTAATGTTATCCAGTTGTGTGGCTAAGGTGTCATGTAGGAAAAAAAAATGGGTTTTCTCTTTCTTTTTTTAATTGATTAAGCAAAGTACATTCAGCAAAGTCTATGTTTAGAAAGTATTTATTCAGTTGACAGCCAACACCAAACTAGAGATGAAAACAAAAGCATTAAGGAAACGACAAACCACCTGTACTTAATATGAATGAGGAAGGAAGGCCGTCTTACAACTTCTGGGTTTGTATGATTAAACTAAAAACTGCAGAAGTTCTGAGGTGGTAAAAGTCACCACCAGAAATCCTAAAGATCCACCAAAGTGGGGTAGAATACAAAATGCTTGGATATAAAGTATGGGTCATGTGTTAAAAAGGAGGGCTGTTCTAAGTGGTGAGAACCAGGGCAAGCGATGGTTAAGGAACAGGACAGGCTAGAAACAGGATCCTGCCTTAGTTCCGCCCAGGCTGTGACCCTGGTGACCTGAGGTGCTCACTTTCCTAGCTGTAAAAGGAGTCTTTGAACCAGTGGTCTCAACTGAGCAGAGAAGGCTCCTAGAGATTTGTACCCTTGGTCAAAGCAACAGGTAGAAACCTTGTATCTGGGTTATCTCTACATTTGCAATTGGGAGGAACTGTGTAAATGCAACTGAAGCTGGTATAGTTCTTTCTTTATTTAAAAGATCCAGTCTTGGGACCAGCAGTTAGCGTAATGGTTATGTCACTGGACTCCCATGTAGTTGACCGTGGTTTGAGTCCCGGACCCGGTGGCTTAAACTCATGCCGGGCGCATGTGCGTACATGCCCAAGATCCCGAGAGGAGAATGGAGGAGAAGGGATTGAGGCGTGGCCATCCCCCCTGGTGGGTGATTTCTTGCTTTCTGTCTCTCTGCCTTTCTCTGTCTTTCTGGCGAGGGCACGCGCCCTATAGCAAAAACCTCTCAAAAAAAAAAAAAATCCAGTCTTGGGGCAGCAGGTAGTGTGGTGATTAAGGCACTAGACTCCCCTAGACTCCCACCTAGCTGACCTGGGTACAAGTCCTGGATCTGGCAGCTTGCTTTCTCACTTTCCCTTTCTCTTGTGCGTGCTCTCTCTCTGGTCAAATTAAATAAATGAATAAACAAACAAATAAATAAGTCAAATAAAATTAAATAAATATATCTTAAAAAAGGATCTAATTTTAAGTTGTAGCTCATCAAACATTTGGGTGTCACTGCTTCTTAGCATCCTGTGTTCCTTTATTTGTAAAACACGGGAGATAGTCTTATCTCTAAAGTTCCTCCCAGTTCCAACAATTAAAATATTGTTCGTGATGGAATTTTATGACAGCAGAGATTTTATCTATATTTTACAAATATCTTTTCGGATATATGTTTATGAAGTGAGCCAGATATCAGAATTAAATATTCAAGTGCAACAAGTAATACTCTTGTAAAATAATGTTGGAGCATGAATTAACTTCTGAATTGATTCAGCATGATAAATATCTCTAGAAAGCCATTTGAGTCAATCAATGAATCCTAAGTTTAATAATTACCTTTATTGTTCTTTTTTTGTTTTTGACCTGACAAACCCTCTTCCTGCTATTATTATAAAGGTGGCGTTGTTTTTACATGAAACAAGATAAATTTCCCCCAAAAAAGTGCTCACAGAGACATCCACAAAGAAAAACCAATATATTGTTGGTTTAAATAGTCTTGATTAGCAGAAAGTCAGTCTTTCGTGGGTTTAGGACATTCTGTAGTATGGTTTTTAGAAACTCACTCATCTTGGCATAGTTCTGCAGCTCTAACTTCCTGTCTTTCCTGCTGGAGCTGATTTGAGAGAAACTTCTAGAAAAATTCAGTTCATTGGGGCGGGAGTAAGCATTTTCCACTCTAACAGTGAAGACTTCCATCGTATGAGAGCAAGTTTAGAAAACATTTTTATTAGACAAATTATTTAGACAAATTATACACAGAAAGCTCTGTCACTCATAATTGAGGCCTCCAAAAATGTGTTGTGTATTTGTATAATAGGCAATACATCAAAATAAGCCTATTTTAAATATGGTACATGGTTAACAGGTTGTCGATACCTAAAATCACTGCAACAGCTGGTATGTCCCTCTATCGCTTGTAAAGATCTTTTTCTGTTGTGTTGTTTGAAAATCAGTTGTGAATGAGATCATGAATGTTACAGGGGAGAACAAGTTGTGCATGCACTTAAGTACTTGTTACCCTGGAAACAAAATGGTTTTTGCAGGATAAGAAATTTTTCTGCCTTACACAGTAGACAATATTCGAAGATTTAGTACAAAAACAGTGACCATACAAGATGCTCCCCAGAACAGAATTAGCATCAAAATATAATATACCTTAAGAATATACCTTTTAATTTCTCCTAAAGCAAATCACATAGGTTGGTTTTCCTATATCGATCCTAGCCACAGCATGAATTAGGTTAAAATAAGTGTATGACTGCGTGAACACACAGGATAAGTTCTTGCTTCCTACTTACCACAGTCTAAGGATTACAAACGAAGTTCGTCCTACATCGCTAACGGGTAAGAATGCTACTTGGAAAGGCGGTGCACACACAGGCACTGTTTTTGCTGTCGTCCTTCTATACACTTGGCACTAACGTAAAAAATACAGAACTCCTCCCAACAGAACTGAATAAAAAAAAAGGGGATGACGCTGAGAGCCCAGGATGGTAATTACATTTTCTTCTTTAGGATAATGTATGACGGTAATTAAGGCCACATCAATATTTCTTAAGGGCTCCCATCTGTCCCCAACTACAGTAATCGTATTGATTGGCTTACTGCTTCGGAAGAGGATTTTCACCTTCAATGATCTACGTTTAAACTCTTCGAGAACTCTACGTGCTGCGGTGGATGTGGGTCAGCTAATAGCATCTTCCATTTAGATAATTAATTAAAAGTAAAGTTATCAAGGTTAGCTTTATACATTGCCGGATAACAAATGCAAAACCTATTCAAATGAGTTACCTCTACGAACAAATATTAAATCGCCCTGGATGTTTTAATAACAAAAGTATAAAATAGTCTGTTGGCAAACAATGCGAGTCGGAATAACATTAAAGCAACCTGCCTTTTCTAACTGAAAAGAACTCCTGCACTATACATAGTTCCTGTATACAATACTTTTATTGTTTAAAACTAAAGCTTTATTAAATGAATTGCAATAGCAATGGCCGCCTTTTTATATATATACACATCATATAGGTGCATATATATGTATATATATACGAGATACTCATTTTATTTAACACAATAGAGGCTTCTGCCATAGGATAGATCTTACTGTACATAAGAAAAAACTGTGAATACTGTACAATCACATAAAGGTCAATATGCACTGTTGCAGTGCAAGAGTAGTTTGAACTGTAGTCTTGACTGGCATATTAATGGCTTTGTTTGTTTGTTTGTCATCCTACAAAACTGCATTCTCAGATCATGTGGCCTGAATGGTCTTTAGATTATTTTAGAAACACTGCAGGGTTTGGTCCACAGTCAGAGGACCCTCAAAAGCAGTGGGGCATTGTGGATGCAGCAGGAGAATGGAACAGAACCGAAGTTATTGCGAGTGTCGTTTTCAAAATAGAGGTGACGTATGAGGCCTTTATGTCAAATGAATCCTGCACAGACGTTCAGAATACTCAGTGCACATTTCCTAGACTTGAAGTACAGTATATGAAAAGCTGGACTAAGAGGACCCTAGCCTACTATATTCTGGGGGGAACAGATTGAGTAATGAAAAAAAGTGGTGGGAGATGTACGGAAAGAGGGAAAAAGAGAGAAAGCAAGAGAGGAGAGGAAGCAGGGAGAAGGGGGGGAGAGAGGACTAGAATTGTTACTAATCATCCTGATTTTTTTTTTAAGTTACATCCATGTTAGTCCCACAATATTACAGTTGCTCCTTGCAAAGGGAGTCCTAAAAAAGAGACAGTGAAGACATTTTTGTTGGATGCTCAGATGGAGGTGCCTCGGTCTGGATCATTACCCAGATTGAGCCCCAGGCTAGGAGTCGGCTGATAAGGAATAGATGACATTGTTTTTATAGGACTCCTGAAAAAGCCTCCATTGGGTGCCCTGTGCCTAAAAGGGCCAGTTCGGTGCTCAGGCACGTTGCCAAAAGCGAAACCAGAGGCAGCTTTAGCGGACAGTGTGCGGCTAAGAGTCTGGATCTGCTCTGGGATAAAGGTCGTTGTGGTAATATGAGTGTTCCTGAAATCACTGATTTGCTCCAGTGCTTGTCGTGTTGGCAAAGTGTCAATGTCCAGAGGGGTCAAGTCAATTGACGAGGTGGAAAACTGTTTATGGGGGCTGTCGTCATCTGTGCACAAGCTATTTACACGTCTATGGAGGTGCTCCAGGTCAATTTCCTTGTCATCCTGGAGATGAAGAAAAAGAAGACAAGGTTCTCATCAGTACTAGCTTCTATGGTACAAAAAAAAAAAAAAAAAAAAAAAAAAAAAAAAAAAAAAGAAGTTCAGCAAACAAGGAAAAAACTAAAA